GAGTAACTGGGATAAGGCAATGGAGAAAATAAGGAAGGGAAAACCAAAAATTATATATATATATATATATATATATATATATATATATATATATAATACTTGAGATAATTATACTACAAATTTCTCTTAGCTCGTTGAAAAGAAAGGTTTGTGCTAATATTGTTGGAACAATTAGATGTTGTTACCTTGTACTCTGAGTAACTAATTTAAAGATAGCAACATGCAATTTATGAACCATTGTTACTTCCCTATTATCTTGTTTTGAAATTTTGCTTTATTTTTTTTCTTTGAAATTAAAAAATATCATTTCACAATGTCTATCATACCTCCGAGTTTATTCTAACTCTTTCCGGTTTTACACTAGTGAGACAATGTCTGTGCTTGCACATGCAGGTCTGATTTATTTCACTTATGAGTATGGTCTCTAGTTGTGACTATTTACCTATAAAAGCCTCGCGTTTATCTTTCTTTATAGCTGAGTAATACTCCATTATATAAAATGATAGGAAAATGTTCAAAGATAAAGGGAAACTGGGATGTGGGAAAAGGAAGGGAAAGAAGGAGAAATTTTGTATGTATATATATACAGGATAGTTAATATAACTGATCTACTGTCTTCTATTTCTTTGCTGAAAGAAACTGTTAATGAGTCCTTGATTGATTAATATTGCATATCTCTATTTGTTTTCTTGGGAAACCACTTTGAAGATCTCAATATGTAACACAACAAGCATTGTTAATTTCCTACCACTTTGTAACTCTGTATTGTCTGTACTGTTCTTTTGCTATTTTGTAAAAGGTTGTCTGTTAATGTTTTCCTCCTTTCATTTTTAAAATAAAAAAGAAATTTAAAAATATATATGAATATAAAAATTGTCATCTGCATACATATTTAACCACTCTTCATAATTATTACCTGGAGAAAATAAAGCACACCCTTGAGATACCATGGGGAATAAGTTCTGAGATAAGCACCAACACCTAAACAGGAGGCTTCAGTGGTCCCCTGACTTCTTAGAGTTAGCTCTGCTGTGATTCCTATTCTACTTTCTCTGCTTTGAGAAATCACAGGGCAAATTCCCTTGACAGATGAGCACAACACAACTTTCTCATCTTAAAAAAGCTCCAGAGACCCACAGAGCATAATCAACCATGAGAAGCTCCATAGGTTTCCATAATGAAAAGAGACCTTGTCTTTAAGTCAGGGCCTTTCTGTCTTTTGAGACAGGAGGTGGGGAAGTAGCATCATGCTGGGGACCAGGGGTTAGGAAAGAAATGGGAGTATAAGGCCAGAGAAGAGAGCTGAGTTACTCTTCTTGGTGTGAATGAGTTAGTTACTCTCTCTTTTCCTGTTCCTCTCTTTCTTACTCAGCCTAGAGCTTTGGGAAGAAGCAGGAAGAAGCTGAGCGTTGGCTGAGAAGTGAAAATGGAAGTAATTTGCTGCTGTTGTATAGAATATTAGCATCTGGAGAAATTTGGAAACAAAGAAAACCCTCTGGACATGGAGGTGAGCTTCAATAAGCTGGCCACCACCTGGCCACTTCAGCTAGTCATGCACTTACTCTTGTACCTACTTGCAAATATTTCATGGATTAAGAAGCTGTGGAATCCAACTGGAACCTGCTTCTAGCTTTCGATTTTAGGTTCATTCACTTTATCCTTTAGGCCATCAATACTACATGTTTCAGAGAAAGCAAAACCTCACCAGTAGAAAAAAGATCATCTCTATGACCAGCATCACACACTCAATGTTTACCTTTAGGACGATTCTCCCTGATTCACAAGTCTAAAGTTTTTTCCTTTCTTCTAGTGATTAGCACAGGTTATCCTCACATCTATGACCCAGAGCATTCAAATTCACTTAACCCTAAGCTTCAGTAATTATTTTTTGCATCCCAAATTACCCCAGGAATTCCTTTCATGAATGACTTAGCTTTGCACACTGCCCTACTTGACAACCTGTTTTCAGACATGGAATCTTGCTCTCTATTCATAAAACTTCACATAGCATACTGTGAACAGAATAAACCAGACCTATATTCTCTGTTTTAACTCAGGGCACTATTTAGTTTTCATCACAACTCACCCACCAGACATTTCCCACTATTCAGGGCCAGTTCCTTTCATCTTATTATAGTCAGCCCATCATGGGTATTCAAGTGTTCAAATCCCAAAGTCTTTCCCACTCAAAACAATAGGCAATATCACAACTACATGGATGATTCTGAATGGAAGAAGGTGATGTTTAACTTAATGATTTTGGAGAGGAGAGCATAATTTATGCAGAAAATCATCAAAGTGAAGAAAACATTGTGCGATTTCATGATTATATCTTCACCAGAACACAAGGAAGTATAGCATAAGAATCAAAAGAATGACTTTGTTTTGAGTTAGTATGGAGTTTAAATTCTGGTTACCCTCACTTCCTTAGTAACTCTGAATAAATCACTTCATCTCTCCAAATCTCAAGCTTCTCTATGTGAAATGACAGTACTAACAACACATACCTTTTAATCCTTTGATTCAACATTCAGTGAGATGCTTAGCATGGGCCTGATACTGATAAATTTTCAAGAAGTATTATTAACCTTACCTACTGATTCACTCAGTTCATTCAGTGAAGAAACACATATTCTTTCTCAGAAATTCTTGTAAAATCATAAAATTAGTCTGACAGTGAGGCAGTGAAGGACATGAAATTTTAAGCAAGTGAATTAACTAACTTTGAAAACATCCACGGGTTGATAAAGGATGTATCAGATAAAGGAAGACCATCTTCGGATTAGTAGTAAACAACACTTGTCCTGCATGTTTACAATATGCTTGTTCCTCTTCTAAGTCCCAAACTGCACTATTATCTCACAAGAGTCTTACAATAATGTAGATAGTTGCATGCAATTTTTTACATAAAGAAATCAAAATTTAAAGATGTTTATTAAATTTCAATGAAATTTGTAGTCATTTACTTTTTAAATAAGTGAATATATGTGAATTAATCAGTGTTCTGTAACAACAGAAGAATACTTGAGGCAATTATAATGAGAAAAGGCTTATGCTCACTCATGGTTTTGGAGACCCAAGTCCATGTTCAATTGGCACCATTACTCTGGGTCTCTGTGGGACAGCAGATGATAGTGGGAGATGTGTGGAGAAATCACTCAACTCATGAGCCAGGAGCCAAAAAAAAAAACAGGAAGAGCAAAGGCCTCAGTTCTGTGAGGGGACATTCCCAAAGGCCTAAGGATGTTCTACCAGATTCTAATACCCACAGTTCCTCACTTTCCCAACCCTGCCACCCCAGGGACTAACCTTTTAACACATAGGCCCTTGGGTACTCTCTGTATCCAACCATAATGATGTGAATAGTTCATACTTTTAATGTATGGCAGTGCTAATGCAAGATGTCCATTTAGAGTGCATAAAAGAATATGCTGAAGCTAAAGCAATTATTTTAAACTTCTGGTAACAAATATGGGCATTGGAAAAACTTCTATTCTAGCCAAGAATATATAAGTAACTAGTATCTTAGAATTCTTGAAAAGCCCTGTGTAAAATGTCTGCTCACAAGGTACATTTGACTATGCTGACACTCAAAATGCAGTCAATATTTTGCTGACACAAGAGGTGACATTGCAGGTTTTTGTAGTGTGAAGAAATGGAATTTGGTCTGATTTTATCACTAGGTGACTAAATATAGCCAAAGAAAAACATATATACAAAAACATGTTTCTCATATATATATTTTAGATAAACATATGAAGATGAATTGGGAAAATACAAATTGGATACTCAAAAATGGATGCCCATCCTGTACAAAATGTGTGTCCAGACAGGAAAGTTTTGTAAATTACATTTACAAAAAAGACATGTAAAGACTATGATTTTATGCCATGGTTAATGAAGGTGAACCACCCATTCTGTATTTGAGGAGGAAAAAGAAAACCTGTAGCAATAGGCTCAATATTCCTCTCAAATTTTCTTCATTGGTTGTTTTAGTAGAGTATCATTTTTCCCCAAGACAATGCAAAGGTGAATTTCAGCTTGACAGTCTGAATTTGATTTGATAAAGAATGTTTGTCCTGTGACCTGACTCTCAAATGTATCCCAAATGTATCTCAAATGTGCTACTTACTCCATATCCGTGTCCATTCCCTTATGCTAATTTACTTCCTTCACAAAATTTATCCCTACCTGATATTATCCTACATATTTTGTTTATCGATGACGTATAACCTCAATTAAAACATTGCTTTGTCCTCAGAAGAAGAGCACTACTTTTCATAGAATAAAGAAATTATATATTTGAATCATTCTTCTTCGTGGCTGAAAACTATTCCACTTTGAATCACTGCTATATTTTCTTCATCTATTCACCTATTGATAGGTGATTATAGAGTGATTCCATAGCTTAGCTGTTTTTAAAGTGCTGCAATAAATACAGGTAGGTAGATATCATTTTGGTATGCTGATCTTATTTCCTTTGCATAAATACCCAGAACCTTGACAGATGGATTATACAGTAGATCTAGTTTTATTTTTGGAGAAATGTTCATACTGTTTCTGATGTGCACAGAGAACACTGATTAGTATAGGTGGTGTTGGGGAGGTTAACTATTAAGAGAGTTTGGATTTGAACAGGGCACACTGTGTGCATATATCAAAATATCACGCTGAACGCAACTAATTCATACAATTAATATGTACTAATAAAAAGCAAAATATAAAATTCAGTGAAGGATATAAATCAGAGAGGTCCACCTGGAATGGTGTTAAAGGAAAAATTTTCTTTTGTCCCTCCAGCTTTTAATATAAAGCTCTTAGGATGCTCATAGACTTGGCTGGGAGAAGCACATCAAGGATACAGATTAATGAGTTGACGCTGAACAGCAGCTAATTGTGATCAGACAAATGAAATGAAAACTTGATGGATTCTCATGATTGGAGTTTTAGAGCTGAAATATATTAAATAACACTTCTTGTACATAACTGGGCCCAAGTCAATGGAAAGAGTCAACCAAACCAGCAGCGTCTCTGAGTTCATTCTCCTGGGACTTTCCTCTCGGCCTGAGGACCAAAAGCCACTCTTCGTTCTGTTTCTCACCATTTACCTGATCACCATATCAGGGAATCTGCTGATCATCCTGGCCATCCGTTCTGATGCCCGTCTCCAGACCCCCATGTATTTCTTCTTAAGTTTCTTGTCTTTCACTGATATTTGCTTCACAACAACCATCGTCCCCAAGATGCTGGTGAACTTCCTGTCAGAAAGGAAGGTCATCTCCTATGCCGGCTGTCTGACACAAATGTATTTTATCTATGCCTTGGGCAACAGTGACAGCTGCCTTCTGGCAGTCATGGCCTTTGACCGCTATGTGGCCATCTGTGACCCCTTCCACTATATCACCACTATGAGCCACAGCCGCTGTGTCCTGCTGGTGGCCTTCTCCTGCTCATTTCCTCACCTCCACTCTCTCCTGCACACACTTCTGCTGAATCTTCTCACCTTCTGTGACTCCAATGTTATCCACCATTTTCTCTGTGACCTCAGTCCCCTGATGAAATTGTCCTGCTCCCCCACCTTTGTCAATGAAATTGTAGTATTAATAGAAGGATCTATCATTTTGGTCACCCCTTTCCTATGCATTGCTTTGTCTTATATACGAATCCTCATCACAGTTCTCAAGATTCCCTCCACTTCTGGGAAACACAAGGCTTTCTCTACCTGTGGTTCTCATCTCACCGTGGTTGCACTCTTTTATGGCAGCATCTTCTATGTGTATTTGCAACCTGTGTCCACTTACTCTGTTAAGGACCACATAGCAACAATAGTCTACACAGTTTTGTCCTCCATGCTAAATCCTTTTATCTACAGCCTGAGAAACAAAGACCTGAAACAGGGCTTGGGGAAACTCACGAACAGATGGAGATCCTAGACTGCACCCTCTTGACGTTACACATGGAACCTGGTTCCCTCAGACCTGGCCCATTATCCTCTCTACTTATCCTACACCAAACATGGCTAAGCTTCTACTGTTTAGGTGATCTGAGAGCAAACCTGGATTTTGCCTATGGTGCTGCAAGTCTTAGTTTAGGAGCTTAGTCATAGTTCTTGACTCTGCTGGGTTTTTTGGGGAGGTGGGGGCCAACATTTAACAGGAGGGGGTTAAGAAACTAGTCAAAAAAAGAAAGAAAGAAATTCAAAAAACAAAAACCTGAGTTAAACAGTTTTCCTAAATTTGACACCAAAAGAAAAAAATTCTGACATGTAATTCTACTAATTCTTGCCCAACAATCAAGCTGTCAGAAGTTAGTGTTTTAAATCCATGTGTGACAAGACCATTGTGATCACTGACGTTCACAGATGACTTTTTGTCTATTGGCCTTGTAGCTACTTAGATCACAGCACTTACTATCTACTCCTTCTCTTTCTTAGGAGGATTGATCCATCACATTGTCCATATTTCCACCTTCCAAATACTATTTGAAAATAACCCTTTCCCCACAAATATTTTGTGAGAAAACTTCTCTTTGCTTATCAAGACTGATAGTTCAACTTCTTATTTGAATATATCAATGAAAATAGTTACATAATTTGTAGCTGTTGAAGGGTTTGCAAATATTTGAAGAGGCAAAAAATGGAGCAAGAGATAGGATGAAGAGAATTTTATATTTTCATTGATTTCCTCATTTTTATGATTATTATAATTCTTTATTTTTCTGTTATTTAAAAATTTTTTGCTTAAATCTTATGTTTGTGCTTTTGTTCTCTTACTTTTGCTTAATTTTTACATTTGTGCTTTCCTCTCTGCTTTTCTGTATTATACCAATGTATTTTTTCCTTTAATTATTTCTTATACTTTAACATAAAATTTAAAAACAGCAAGAAGAGAAGAATGAAAGCACAAACATAAGATTTAAGCAAAAAATTTTTAAATAACAGAAAAATAAGAATTATAATAATCATAAAAATGAGGAATAGTGACATGGAAATTATCCATTCTAAACAAATGAGGTTGGAATCTTCCTTCCTTTCTAAACCTTTCTTTGCTCCTGAACAATAAGTTTAAAGCAAATTACTTAACACTTTATTCTAGAAACCCTCATTTCTCCAATGGTAGCCTACAGAAATAGTGTCATAATTGTGTATTGACTTATATTGTAAATATGTATTGGATATGTATTATACATCCAAAGTTCTTGCATGAATCTCAGCATATAATAGGTAAAAATGGTGGTAATCTAAAATATTGCCAACCAATAAATGGAGAAATGTGTTATAATTCATCTCATAGAGTAACTATATATAGCACATTCAAGGACTCCCCAATATACCTCTGTTGCTGCCTTTAAAAAGCCAATAAGTAGGAACATTGAAATGTAAACAACATACAAAAACAGGACTCCACTGCATTAAAAACACTATAAAATGTCCATATGTGTGCAACTATTGGAGTAAGAATGACAGTACAAGGGGTGACAGAAATGAATATTTCCACATCATTGTGTACATAATGTTTAAGTTCGTTTAGATAAGAGTTTATTACCTATGAATTTAAAACTATTAATAAATAAGATGATATAACGGTAAAAGTTTTGAAAATTTCCAGTTGAAGAGCCACTTTCTGAATGTCATATATCTAAAAATATATTATTTAGTACTTTAACTTGGGTAAATGAACTAATAATTGGGTTGGATATAGCATTCTTGATACCCAAATTTTCCTTTCGGATCTTTAAAAAATATAACTGCATTATCTCACTTCATTAAGTATTTCCAGTGAGAAATAAGAGACCATTCTAATTTGTGTTCCTTTGCAATGGCCCATTATCCTCTCTACTTATCCTACACCAAACATGGCTAAGCTTCTACTGTTTAGGTGATCTGAGAGCAAACCTGGATTTTGCCTATGGTGCTGCAAGTCTTAGTTTAGGAGCTTAGTCATAGTTCTTGACTCTGCTGGGTTTTTTGGGGAGGTGGGGGCCAACATTTAACAGGAGGGGGTTAAGAAACTAGTCAAAAAAAGAAAGAAAGAAATTCAAAAAACAAAAACCTGAGTTAAACAGTTTTCCTAAATTTGACACCAAAAGAAAAAAATTCTGACATGTAAAGTAAAAAAATTGAATTTCACCAAAAATTAGAAATCACTCTGTAAAGGATCCTGTTATGAAATGAAAAGAGAATCTATACATAGGAAAAAATATTTGCACATCACATATATGACAAAGGACTGATATTTAGAGTGTACAGTAAGCTCTCAAAATGCAACAGTAAGAAAGTAAACAATCCAATGGGAAAATGAGCAGAAACATGAAGAGAAATCTCACCAAGAAAGATACATAGCTGGCAAATGAGAACACAAAAGATATTGAACATCATTAGCTACATGGGAAATGCAAAATAAAATGAAATGGGATTTGACTGCATAATTATCAGAATGGACAACATAAAAAATAATGACATGCCAGATGCTTTTGAGGGGGCCAGGGATGTAGTTTAGCAGCACAGCACCTGCCTAGCAAGTGCAAGGTTATGAGTTCGAATCCTGGTACCAAAAAAAATGTATAGATGCTTTTAAAGTTGTAGAGAAAGTGCCTATTGGAAGTAAAATCTTACAGCTGCCAAGAAAAGAGTTTGGAAGTCTCTTTTAAAACTAGACATGCAACTAAATTATGACCCAGAAATTGTATTTATTCCAAAAACCTGAAAACTTTATGTTCACACAAAAACATGCACAAATATTCACACTTTATAGGTTTATTTGGAAATAGACAAAAGTTTAAAAAAACTATTTTCCTCACAAATTGAGATAAAATTCAACACATTTTGAAATTAAAATCTCAATAAATGAAGAAAATGGGATAACTTCCTCACTTTCATCTGCAAAAAACACCCCATGGCTAACACAGTACTTTGAGGTGAAAAACTAACAGCTTTCCCAATAATAATAGGAATAAGGCACAGATCTCCTCTTTAACCATTCTTTCTTACCATCATTCTGGAAGTCTCAGCTAAGGCAATAAGACAAGAAAAGAAAATTTTAATATATATAGATTGGGAAGGAAGAAAAACTGTCTTAGTCTGGAGATGACATAGTCAATGTAGAATATCTAAAATAATTAACTGAGAAATCCCTCTTGGTATTAGTACAAAACTATAGTAAAGTTGACTGACACAAGGTTAATACAAAAAAGTTATTTCTCATATACCAGCAATGAACAAATTGAAATTGTTTTTGAATTGAAAAACACATTTCATTTATGCTAGCACCCGCCAAAAATGATATAGGTATGAACATAACAAAATATGTACAAAATATATGGGTAAAAATATCAAAACTCAAATAACAGCAATCAATACCAACTAAATAAGAGTATGTTACATTTTCTTGAAGAACTAAAGAAAGAGTAAAGAACTAAAGAGTAAAGAACTAAAGAGTAAAGAACTAAATAAGAGTATGTTACATTTTCTTGATTATCACATTGCCAGTTTTTCCCAATTTGATCCATTGGTTCTGTATAACCTGAACAAAATACTAATAAATGAAAATTGACAAATTGCTTCTAAAGTTTGGAAAGGCAGAAGATCCACAATATCTAACACAATATTGAAGGAGGAGGAGGAGGAGGAGGAGGAGGAGGAGAAGAAGGAGGAGAAGGAGAAGAAGAAAAAGAAGAAACTGCTGACAGTACCAGGCTTCAATTATATAGCTGCAATAATCAAAGCAGTGTACAACTGACAAAAACCAGCAAGATCAATCAAATAGAATAAATAATTCAGAAATATGTCTACACAAATAGAGTCAATTGACTTTTGACATTTGGGCAAAAACAATATAATGGATAAAAGAAAGTCTTTTTAACAAGTGGTGGTGAACAACTGGATATTTACATGAAAATATACACAAATATTTTTCATTTAATATTCAAATGGAATATTATTCAACCCTTAAAAATGGAGCTGGGGACTTAGCTCAGTGGCACAGCATCTGCCTGGCAAGCACGATGTCGTGAGTTAGGTTCTTCGTACTGGAAAAAAGAAAACAAGTCTAAAAAATGAATTGTCAAGCCATGAAAAGTCACAGTGAAATCTTAAAAATATGTTACTAAATGAAAGAAGCCCATTTAAAAAAATAAAACACCATACTGCATTGTTCTAATTATGTGAGATTCTACAAAAGGCAAAACTATAAAGAAAAAGAAAAGATCAGTGCTTACAGGAAGTAGTTGGAAAGAGAGAACACTACATGGAGTACAAAGGATTATAGTGCAGTTAAACTGATCTGTATGATATGATAAAGAGAGACACAGGTCATTTTACATTTTTCAAGCCCATAGAATTTACAGTACCAAAGCAAACTACAGTACAAACTACCAACTTTGAGTAATGATGCTGTGTCAGTGGAGATTAACCAATTCTAACAAATTTACCCTTCTGGTGTGATGTTCTGCATTTATGCTGCATATATACATTGATATTGGCGGTTCTGCATTTACACTGACAAAATGATATATGGGAATTTTCTGCCCAATTTGGTGCAAATCTAAACTTGCTCTTTAAAAAACCCTAAAGTCTACTGGAAAAAAATGTAACATCAATTCCTGCCTAGGTGTGCAGCTTGATGGACTGCCTGCCCTACATTCCCCACAATTGCACGAACCAACTTCTCAGGGATATTGCTAGCAAGGAATTAATTCCCCCAAGACAGACATTACTTACAAACATAAAATTTATTTTTATTGACCTTTGGTTTGGTTCTAGAAATTGCAGAAATGAATCAAGGCCAACTAACAATTTCAAAGCCAGGATGGTCTTTTTTGTTTTCCATAGTTGTCTTTTATTCTTGTCCATTCTATCAAAGAAGGAAAGGGTAGAATTTGCAAATGGGAATTCATGCAGGAAGCCGTTCATCTTCCTTTAAAAAGAGGATCCACG